CCCCGGGAGCAGAGACTATTAACAACGATGAGAACAGAGAGAGAGGGAATAGTAACAGGACAGCTGTACGGTTAAGAAAAGCCTAAAATATAATAAGCCTTGAAAAACTGAAAGAAGGGTTTGGATTTGGTATTGCAAATGGGTGTTTCTTAGCTTTTTTTTGAACTAGGCTTTCTTAAACAGAACCAAAGGGCCCTGACCTGTGTGGCTCAATGGGCTGGACAAAGCCCGCAAAGCAAAAGGTCACCGTCCTCATTCCCCAGGGTCAGGGCACATGCTTGGGTTGCAGGCTTGGTCCCCGGTCAGGGCACATGCAAGAGGCAACCAATCGATGAGTTTTCTCTCCCTTTCTTTCTCCCTCCCTTCCCCTCTTCCTAAAAATAAATAAATAAAATCTAAAACAACAACAACACAACAAAAGGTACTATGACCCTTGTACCCTAAGTGCTAAACAATAATCATGCTAAGTGCTAAGATAAATAAATAAAAATTTCAGTATTTTAATACTCTCAGAATTCATCATTCAGACAAGGCTCAAGGTTCAACTGGTACCCTTGGTTAGGTGGTCTTACATACGTTCAGCAACCCAGCTTTCGCCTATCTTATGAATCTGCCCTTCTCAAAGATCTCCACCCAGTTAGGACAGCATTCAGCAAACTATTTTTGTTAAAAAACAAACAAACAATAACAATAAATATTTTGGCTTTGCAGGCCACACAGTCTGCACCACTCCGCTAGCACAAAAACAGCCACAAACAGATAGGTGGGCCGTGCTCAAACAAAACAGTATTTACAGAAAGAGGCAGCAAGCCAGGCTGGGACCCCGAGTCTTGCCTGCCAGCCCAGCCCTGCCCCCCTCTTCAGGGTATGGAGAGAGACAGAGGTATTGAAGATGGCATAACATGCGGGTGTACTTGTTTGAGAACTATATACTGCTGATGCAAAAAAGCATGACTTTACAAATTGTGAGTTAACCAACCAACCAATTAGTTGATTCTGGTGGTGCTACACTGTGATTTATAATTAAAAACCAAGAGTAGAAGCAATTTTAAACCACAAACAACTCAAACCAGTAAGGAAATGATCATGTCGACCACACTTCCACGCACCTGTGTGCAGCAGCAGTTCTGCAGCGCACCAAGGGCTGGCATCCAGGCTCCGGAGAGCTAGCATCTGCAGCGGACACCGAACTGTGTACTCACCACGCCCAATTCCGCGTCCTCAGAATCGCAGCTGAACTTCAGTTTAGCGGGCTGCACTGAAGCGGGATGTGACTGAGCCCTGGCCAATGGGACATGCGGGAAGCGACACACCGCTGCCAGGCCTGGCTTACACAGCGATGTCCCACGTGTGACCTGCCACTCTCTAGCCCCACTGCATGGCCCTGGAGGCCCTATATTGAATGGGGGCATCACAAGAAGGAAGGAACCTGGCTCCTGAATTACCATGTGGTGCAAAGTGCCTACTTCCCTCAGCCCCATCTCAGCAAATGAGGTCATGACAACAATGAACAATAACCGTCCCCTGTAATAAGCCACTGACATCTGGGGCTGTTTATTACAGTTGATAACCTGTTCTAACTAATACAGAGTTCTTAATAAACTCCAGCAATGTGCGATTTAGGGTATGAATATTAAATTTTAACAGTCCTTTAAAGCTCACTTGGATTTTTAATACTGTTTCGCTGTACATAAAAATGCACGCATTTGCCTTTATGGATCCGTTCTTAGTCTATCAGAAAGATGTCCACAGCCCACACTGAGCTGGAAGCAGGCTATGGAAGTGGAAGTAGCCTTCTAGGAAATCAGTCTTCTGTGGGCATTGGTTAACACGTTTTCCTAACACCTACTACCTACCAAGCAGCATGCTGGGGATTAAGGGCAGAAAGATGAGTGAAAAGCAGGCGCCACCCCGAGTTGAAGGCAGTGGGAGGGAAGAGAGTGGTGGGGCTCGTGGTGAACAATGGGATGCCCTGGAAAGCGAGCCGGGTAAGGAAATGCGGCAGCACAGGACCAGCCACCACGGCGGAGCGAAGTGCGGGGGCTTCAGAGAGGGGCCTGGAAGAGGACAGAGACTGGGAATCAGCAGCCACGGGGAAGAGCCCTTCAGAGAGCCCTGCTCTCTGCTGCAGTCACCCGACAAAAAGCCTCACTCACTTCCGTCATCAGTTCTGCGCAGGACGTGGGCTCCATTCCAGGAACAGAAGCAAAAGGCACTGTTTTTGTGATTTACAAGGTCATTTCTCCAGGTGGATTTTACTGACGCTAAGACATAAAAACTCTTAACGTCTAAGCGAGTGCTCCTCAGCACTTCACGTTTGTTTGGCACAGAGAAACTTCTCCGGTTGTAATCGCACACACCCACCCACACTCAGAGGGCAGGCACGGTTCTCGCGCACCGGCAACCACAGGTCCCCCGCTTCACAGCCCACCCGTAACTCCGCTCCGCATTCTCGCCGACTTCAGTCCCGGGAGGCCGGGGACTCTGTGAACAGGTCTATTTAGCACTACCAGAAAAAACATTTCACAGCGTGTGTCCCAGGGATGGGAGTCTACAGCTTCAAAAGAGAGGCCGATTTAGACGTTCCTGGGAATGAGCTAAAATGTCCCATTCTAACTGAGGGATGATACTGGGAGGGTAAACTGGGATTTGCTGTTCCCTAAGGATGAAGCTACCTGCCCTACACCTTCCCAAATTCCACTCGAGATAAAGCTGCTTTCCAAAAATTTCAAAGGCACTCTCTTCCTAGATCTATTGATAGTCGATCTTATCAATTAGAGCTACTTTATTGCAAATGCTTTAAATTTACCACAAAGATGGTTTAGGACACAAAAAGTGTAACCTCCAAGAATCTACATGTGTTTCTGCCCATGTCATTTCTGGCATCTCACAGAACAGGAAGGTGGAAGAATACTAAAAAAGAGAGTATTAAGATTTTAAAATCTATTGTTTTTTACATGCTTGCTACCATTTTATACATATAACATGAAACGGCTCTATTTTTGACAGAACATGCATTAATGTTGAAGTAACCCAAAACAAAGCCTGAATATGACAAAATGTCATACTCACTCTTAAAATCGGTGGCAGTCCATGTAAATAGCCCAAGTATAGGACAATGAAAGATTTGAGGATACCTATTTTTCCATACGCTGTCATAACTTAAAACCATTATTTCCCTACCATTTCCCATTTTCTTTGAATCTAAAATAATATAAATTATCCAACCTCTAAGTTATCTTAGTTGTTTTCAACAATCTTCTTCAAAAAAAGTTCAATAAAGGAGGGAAAAAAGCAAATGGATTTCTACTTGCTACGCCTATAATCTAGGAATTAATGCAATATGTAAAGTACACTATGTAAAATTCCAAAATGAAATATTTCACAGTAGCATATCAAAACTATGGACTCCTTAATAAAATATTAATGCCATAAGATAAAAATGTATCTCTTTGGAGTACAGTCTATAAAGAAAAAGGATCGATACTTTCTAAAGCCACAAGAAATACCCATTTATTGCTAAAAGAAAACTAGAGAAACACATCCTCCGAAAGGTTTAGGCACAAGTTTTCATGTGCCCTGAGGGTACAGCAGAGGTGGGAGGGCGCAGCCTACAGGGTGGCTGTTAATACTGTATTCTACGTTCACAGTGGGACAAACAACGTGCTGTTTTTAAGTAAAATATGACAAGACAGCATGTCAAACATAACTGCAGCCACCGTTTTGGGGGGCTCCCTCCTGGGGGCCTGGCTTTGTACCTTGTACTTAATTTATCATTTATCGTCACCCAACCCTACCTGTTAGGAATCATTTTCCTTGTTTCAAAGGTGGAGATGCTGACTGACAGAGGTCACAGAGCGACTACGCCAGGGCTCCCACCCAGGTCTGCATCCATTGTTGCCTGGAGAGAAACTCCTGTGTTACCCGGCAAACATTCTACCGTGCACTTCTATGACAGCTGCTTTAGACTGCAATGAACTCCTCTTACCCTGTTTGAGGTTTCCTTCAGTGGCTACTCCATCGTTCACTTCTGCAAAATCCGTAACTTTAAAGGCATATAGTTCCAACCTGTACTAACAATTATTACAAGTACTATTATACACACAACTGAAAACTAAGATTTTGAAAACCATTATCATAATAGTGATTATATCCACGACTATAAATCATTACAAAGATATGCTTTGATGTATATATAGTACTAAATATATCAGTCCCTGATATAGTACTAAATATATTCAGTCCCTGAATACTAATAAACATTCACAAATAAAATTACTTTTACGTAGCCATTTGATAAGGAGAGTTAACATCTATTATGAAAACCATTAATATTTAAGCCAGTATTTCTTAAAGAAATGCTCACAGGCCGCTGCTGGTCCATCAGTCCTGTCCAGATAGCCCACACACTAATTCCTGGAAAATAACACTTAGAAACATGACACATTGCCCCACTTCCGGCCTGACTGAACACCCACTGGCGATCCTCTCACCGCGTCTCATCAACAGCCACGCCCTTCTCTCCACTAGTTTCAGTGAGTTCCTGGTTCACCTAAGTACAAACACAGGGTCCGGCACAGACAGCATACAATTTTTATTACATGAAAATCTTTTATCACAAAATCATAAGCACGTAATTCTGCAACACAGCAATGTCACACTCAAGCACACCGTATGACATTTTAGGTGAAGTGGTCAAATGAAAACTATAAATTATTACACCCACATTATTATTCTATCAACCACACTGAAGCAGGCGTCACTTCTGCCGGACCCTGTAGACTAGGGTAAGGATTAAAAATCTTTCATCCTTCTAAGGTAAAAAGTTCAGATCCAAAGATGTATGCAACACTGTCTGACTCCATGATTAATTATAGAAATAAGAATTTTATTCAAGTAAAATAATGAATTAGAATATTCAAGTATTTTAAAAAGGGGTATTTGGTAGTGTCAAGTACAATAGTTTGCAAAATAGCACAACTTCCCCCCGTTAAACTTACCTTGAAGATGGCATTATATTCGAGGCCCTGAATTTCGCTGTAAACGGATTAGTTGACTCATAATCAAAATAGTCCTGACGATTTTCACTAAATGCATTAGGTGATTTCAAGTCGCAGGGGCTACTGGCTGCCCCATTGTTGAGTTTATCAGATCTTCTGCTCTCTTTTTTTCCAGTCACTCTTTCAAACAGGCTGACTTTCTCCCTTTTCTCTCTTTTATTTTCTTTTCTTACTTCAATGGATTTTGAAAATAAAGTCACGCTGTTGTCCCAGGACTCACTGCTTTCTTCAAATGGATTCTTCTTCCTTGGCAGTGTTGCAAATTTTTGGGGTAATGAAGCAGTCACATTTGTAAATGGGTCATTCTGTCTTCCGAAAGGCGATTCGCCTTCATCTACGCCGCTGTCAGGTTGGTTCATTTTAGAAGTATCAAAGCTTAATGTTCTTCTGTGAGGAGACTTGAGACTTCCTACAAACAATTTTGTAGCCAGTACATAATCAGTGGCACATTACATCACACTATTTGACACATTTTGTGTGCATACTGCTGCTTGCAGAATGAGAGCAATTAGCTATTTAAAGATTTAACCTTTAAAATAATCCAAGAAAACAATCCTAAAATGCTATGGGATAGCACTCTGAAGTATGTAGGCTAATAATAATTAGAAAACTGTTAGAAAAAACCACATAAACAAAGTATAATATCAAAACCAGAGGTCCTGCTTGGCATGACAGCGCTCTAAATTCTGAAAGACTTTTTTCCACATTAGCATTACATTTACTTTCTTACCATACTTCTGAACATGGGTTTTTTCCCAGGAACTGTCTGATTAAATAGAATATTCATCTATGCTTCAGGCTTTCCAGGCGGGAGTGACAGCAGTAAAAAAATGAAGCCAGGCTGTGAGGAGGGACTGGGATTCATTTGTATTATCATCTAATAATATAAATACTATACTGAATACAGAGAGACTCTGCCTTTAAATACTCTTAACAATTTTGAGGATAGCAGGTACTCAGTAAATATTGGATCACTACATTTAGAAAATACTATTAAGAAACTGTAATTTTTATTTTCTAATTTTAGAAGTTGAACTTTAAAACTTATAAAGGGTATTTCGGGCCACTGAGGAGACAAGTAGAAAACAATGTGTCACTCACCACTTTCTGGAACCACTCCAAAGGACTCTATGTGGCGTCCGAGGAGATGGGTCTGACCAACAGGGCCAGACTTCAGTTTCTCAGAAGACACGTGGGTCCCAGTTAAATCAGACATTGAATGTGCTGAAGAGAGTCGCTGAGGACCCAAAAGGAAAGGCTTTTTTGGTTTGGATTTCATCTGTATTTCACCGCTTGAAAATTCAGAATTGGCATCAGTCATGTGAGAACTTGGAATGATTGCAGAAGATGTATCAGAAAATGTCCCATCGTTTTTTCTACCTTTCATCTTATCTTTTAATTTTGCAAAAGGAGATCTTGTCTTGTCCTTCATTGATAAGTCAAACATACTTGCTGTCATATTGTTCCTCATGAATTGAATATTGACCTTTATCTCACCCCTGTTTTTGGCTCTTTTTCCTTGTTTGGATTCTAATCTAAACCACCTTAAAGAGAAGGAAAAACTGGGCTGTAACATGGAAAGAAGAAAGGATATCAAGCTTTGCTATACACAAGTGGCTTCCTAGGGCAAGCTCTTGTACCCGGAGGCAATCTGTGCAAGGGATGAGCTTGTGTCGGGGAGCACTTCTGGTTTCGCCCATTGCTCGGTTTTTAAAAACTTACCGCTGTCTCTGGGATGCGACATACACTAAAGAGATAGGCCTAGAGTAAGTTTGAAAAGGTTTGCAGACCACCTTTTCTTTCATGATTTGGAAATCATTCACATCACAAATCCTTACCAACAGAGATCTACATATTATGTTTCCATCTGGGATAAGTGTTGTTAATTGCCTAAAAACATTTTTTTTAAAGGTAAAAGACACTGAGGTACAGATGCTGAAAGAATTCGACAATACAAACTTATGGGGCACTACAAAATTATAAGTAGCCATATTTTTAATAAAGTAATAAATATTTAGCTCCATCCAAAAATTTCTTCCATAAAAACTATTACAAGAGTTTTGTTAATACTGGAGACCACTACATATAGTTTACAAATTATAAAATCGAGAAAATTGCATATGATGTAATTTAGGTTAATATAAGATGGGTCAAAGCCTTTTCCTGAACAAAAAATGCAAAATGAATAAAGTGCAGGAAGTGACAAATAGTAATAAATCTTATAAAGAGTTTTCAAAGAAAAAAAGTATAAATGCTTCCTGTTACAATCTTTGTTTCATCTACTATTGCTACTGTGACAACACTGAATAAAAATTATTTTAACAGGAGCCAAATCTCATGATTTTAGTCATTTTGCTGTATGACATTGCCCATTGTTAAATGATGTATAAGAAACAAAGTTTATTTTGCTTTTGTTCACAGTATTTTTATCCATGAGAAAGTCTCCGGTTGTCAGTGTCACAAGTGGTCAGTCTATAGGGCCAACAGCCAAAAAAAAAACCCCCAAAGAACAAAAAACAAAAACCACCCTGCAAAAATCAAGCCTAGAAGACAGTTTCTACAATGTTTTCACATTTAACAATGAAGTATAATATCCATTCTGCAGACAGGTTATTATTTAAATAGAGCTCTAATCAAGTGTCACAAATTTTCTTAGCTACAAAGGAACTCAGATCTAATTTTGTATTAGTTCTTCCCCTCATTATTACCGACACGATGTGCCAGTACATTTACTACACATCACAAGGAAGACTGGTTCACAGGTCCTTCCAAACAGGAGGAAAAAACAGGCACATAACATATAAATCATCTACATCTCAGCAAGTAACACTCAAGAGAAGTATTTTCTTGGTTAATTTGGAGCAATTCAATCAAGTAAGATCTAGCTGCATCAAAACAAGCAACTTTTTAAAAAAACATATTTTAAAATAGAAAGCATTAATCTGACTTATTCTAAACTGAGAAAATCCTTCATCTGAGGCAAATGGTAAAATCTGAAGACACAGAGACTAGACAGGACAGCAACAGACTCTGTGGACTGGAGAACCTTGAAGACAAACTTGAGCATTTGAAAAGTCTGGAAACAAAACAAGGTTATATGCCCAGTTACTAACTTAGTTTCGGAAAATAGACCCATTTTCAATGGGCAAGGAATACTTCTGATGAATGGTACTAGGCAGACATTCTATGACATCTCAGGCTTTACAGAAAATAGGTGAATACACTTTGTATCAAAAGCAAAACAAAACAAACAAAATCCAAGCCTGTAGGATTTCCATGTGTAAAACAATTCAAAGCAAATGAGGAAAAGAAAGAAACCAATAACCCAATAAATGGAAGGCGGTCAAAGTAATCAAAATTCATAGAATTTTACAGATAAGACCAAGTAAGTCATCCATTTAACATTCTTGTTTCAGAGATGAGGAAAATGAGGCACAGATAACAGATGTAACGTCCAATGTCCGGTTAAAGTCAGTAAGGAAAGTATCCAAAGTCGATGGGTAACATCTGCGTGGAAACAGTAGTTCTTTCTCATGTGATGAACTAAATATGTTAATAAAATTAAACATGTAGCCGGTCATCTATTACAGGACACGATTTAATCAGGACACGTGACAGCCAAAGGAGGAGGCAATGCAGGTTTTCTGCTGTTAGAGTGTAAGGTCCATGAAGGTAGTTCACCTTGTGCTACATAAAGGTGGCTTGAATTATTTCTAGAATGGTATCCTTAAAACAACCAAGCTATGCTACACTGTGTGTGTATGTGTATGTGTTTTGTGTTGTTTTGCTTTTGGTAGGGAACACGAAAGACTTAGATGAACTTTAAAGAATAAAGCGAGTCAGTGCTTGAATACAAACTGTAAATACAGTATTTCCCATCTTCCTCCCATCGCCCCCTAAAAAAAAATCTGCAAAGAACTTTGAATATACTAACTTAAAATATAGGCATGACAAATAACTTGGCTGCCTTGTTTTGAAAGTGATATGACAGGGAAGCCTTAATGAGACCTTCAAAAACCACCCTGGAGATAAAACTTGTTTTCCCAGGCTTCGAAAAGATCAAATGAAGACACAGCATTCGGGGCTTAGTGGGTTAATGCTGATTTTTTTTTTCACCTCTTGAGTGCTGGATTTAAACTATATATGGCCTCTGTTCAATTTTTAGTGGGCACAGGTCCATGTTCAAAAACCACCACACATGTGGGAACTATTCCCAAGCAATTGGTGCTGTGTGGTCAGAAATGGGACAAGATTGGCAGCAAGGGTGCCAGAGGCCAGGACGCAGGTGCAGGGCAGAGAGGCACACAAAAGTCCTAAAACCGGCATGTGTTTGAGTCATACCTAACTCCAGGGACTTTGATTGTTATTACTTTTCATGAGCATTAAAAAAAAAAAAAAAAAAAAAAAAAAAAAAATCAACATCACCCACTTCTGCTGTAAAAAAAAAAAAAAATCAATAGACATTACATAACAGCATGAACGCTTTTACCATTCTATTATTAAACATTGTACTATTTCCTTAAATCTCGTGCCAGAACCAACCCAGACACCTATTAAAGTGGAAGATACAGAAGTTCTCTTTCTAAGCTCCACTCAGGGGGTGCAGGTTCAGGCCCCCTTCCCCACTTCTCCTTGAAAGAAAAAAAAAAAAGGTATTTAATTTAAACGTATAAAAATAAGTTAAATAATAGCTTTAGCTGTCACATTTCTTGGCCTATCATGACACAAGTGGAAGACAAGCTGTAAATACCTGTCTTCAGTGTCAAGAGTAAAAAGTGTCACACCGGCAGTTTCATGGGACTTCTAACTCAGCTGGTAACCTTCAGCATTCATACGGGTTTTCTCAAAAGCACTTGGGAATATGCTGACAAGGTTCAGCAATGTGCAGAATATTAAATATCTTTCTTGCAATACACCAGTGGCTCAAGTCTGTCTCTCACTGTGCCACATGCACAGCTGTGCTGCAAAAGGAAACTATTAAATATATTAAAAAACTAGAAATATTACCAATAAAGATACCTCATCAAATACGTGGTCCCCATTTATCCACAAAGAAAGAAAATGTTAGGTATTTAATAACATGAAAATCGTTTTGAAAGCAATAACATCGCAAGGGCTGTTGATAACATTGTAAAGCATTTCCCCCAAAAAAGTTCTAACCAATTTTATATAGTAGCCAACAGAGAATTTCTAGAAGGAGTCCACAGTATTACTGTTTACAGCCAAATGTATAATTGTGATGTTGACAACAATAAGGAATAAAACAAGAAACTTGAAAAGCTTACTTCGTCCTCAGAACCTCTGGGATCACAACTGGGCCTACTTTCACATGGAGAATTTACATTTCAGAGAAGGCCTGCGATACATCATTCATTGCCATTAAAAGTACTGTCAGTGCAGTATGAAGGCTCAAGTGACAACAGACTTGAAAGTTTACATTCAAAACACTTTGAATATTATATATTAAGTGGCATGCGACACTGGTAATGTGAAACAAATTATTTGCTAATTATCCATTTTCGATTTAAATCTGATGAACTCCTCAGAGGAAACTGAATACCACTTTGCAGGTATCAAGCAGTTTCATTAAAATCATTGATATACGTTCAACCTTCCACTTCTTAAAACCCTTTTCGCTCCTTCTTCCCACAGTATTTTCATCTTCTTAACTAGTCTAAATATCACTGTTTGTCTTGCATTCCTAATGTTCCTAATCTGTCTACCCTTTTACCCTACACATTAAATCTTAGGTAAAGACCTGATGGAAAACTCTTTTTCTTTAAATAAAAATTAAAACTCCAGCCAGGAGAAGCTCGCAGAAAGATATACATAAGAAAAAACAAGAGGTGGTTGTCTTAAAATAGAAGAAATTAACAGAGATGTCAAAAAGTTATCATTATAAAAAAGTTTCCAAAAAGGGTTAAAAAAACTTCAGTTATGACTCAAATAAACAACAAAGCTATTTCAGAAATTTCAATTCTTCTTATAAAGTCAACATATATTTTTTCTCATTAGTTCCATCAATTATAATGTACTCTCAAACCAGAAAAATTATGTTTAAGGAAGAGGTGAGTACACCTATTTCTGAAAACATACTATTTTTCAATATAACATCCTAGTGTTATATCATGGTTTTCAAAATTAGAACATATCGATCCTAAGCTGTAAAGTCATTTAAAAAGCTATGTTTTCACTGAAGATGTCATTGCATCATATCATCGCAAGAATTTAATCACTGTCTCCAATCTGACAACGTTTAATATGGTCTAAACACACTGGCTTTGCAAAGCTAATTTCCAAGCAACGCATCAGCTTCAATATACGGTAAATGCAAAGGAGAACGTTAGTGTGTTCAAGGTTGATGCTGTCTGTACACACTTACAAAACTTTTTTTTCTTTACACAGCTTTAGACTCCATCAAGATGCCCTTACCCTGAGAAATGGCTGCACTCTAAGAAAGGCCACTGTGTTTGGAATGTTGAAATGACATTAATGAGTTATAAATCTGGTCATTTATCTTTTAACAGCTTCAGAGTTCAGCATACATAGAACACTATATTGGCAGATTTAGTTTTCTGCTATTCTATTTCCTCGAAAATTGTTATGTTTAAAGACAACCATTTACATGCACGTTGTTTCAGTTGGTCAACACTATGATCCAGTCTTGTTAGAAGTAACAGAACAATGTTAATGTACTTAAAACCCAGTTCAAAATATTCTTTAGGATGAACAGCTCAAAGCAATGAGAGTAAGGGACCAGTAGAGACTCCATTTTAAAAATGTTTCTTCACAAGGGCTATTTTTACTTCAAAGTCATGCAAATGTGGTACTTAAAACTGGGTCAAATTTCATCCCAAACACCAATGCCCCTGGTATACAAATAATTTCCAAGAACAGAAAATCCATAAATAAGATATAGTTAAGCTCCCCCAAATTAAAAATAAATTACATAACTTACTCTGTTTTCCTTCTTTGTTTGTCCTCAAAGATGTCATTGAGATTGATTGCCACCTGCCCTAAAAACTTATCCAGGCCCACCAGGGACCTGTGCATAACTATGAGGAAAAGAATGTACTTCTCCGGATTGCCCTGCATTAGCAAGCCAGGGAGCTCAAAGGAGGCCTCTTCCTTCCAGACTGGCTCAAGGGTTTTCTCAGCTACAGAAGTGGAGTACTTTTCCTTGCCCAGCTGAATTATAGTGTACGTGTCATTGGTGCCACTTTTGCCTTTTGGCTTAAGACCTTTGGCTTGGAGCACTGTGACCTGCACGTGGGTTGGAAACCACTTTTGGGCTTGCTCGGACAGCATCATCCTGTCCTTTTTCTCAGCGCCGAGTTCCCCAGCTCAGGCAGTGCCCCTCCCAGGGGGAGAGCCTGGTCCTTAATCACTGCATCCTAAGGGCACTTAACGGAGACGGGCAAACTCACAGCTGCCCAACTTCCCCAGGGCTGATGTCCAAGGGCCTCACGGGGGCAGCCCGGGGGCACGGCTGCTCCGGGGGTCCCCTTTCTTCAAAAGCACGGGCGCCCACCATCACCTGGCCGCGCCGTCCCGGTCCCACGCCCGCACATTCACGCTCCGCCGGCCCCAGGGACAAGCCCTCGGCGGCGGCGGGTGGCGCCGGGCCTGCGGGCAGGTGAGGCCCGGCCGCCCCGGCCCGGGAAGAGGGCTGCGGCGGTGGGAGGGCGCCCCCCGCCCTGCGGACTAGTGCTCGTCCGCCTAATTCGCAGCCTCCTGCCCCCCGCCCGCCTCCGGGTATCCGGGCCGCCCTCGCCTGCTCCGCACCTCCCGCCCGCCCTGCGCTAGCCGCCGGCCCGGCCCGGCTCCTCCTCCCGACCCCGGTAATACGAACCGCCGGCGGCTCGCGCGGCCTCGCTCCCACTCGCAAACCTCTCCCTCCTCCTCCCCCTCGCCTCGGCTCCTCCTCCCGGGCGTGGGCGGGGACGGGTCGCCTGGGGGTGGAGTAGGACCTGAGACTGAGGATGCGGCCGCCCCGGCGCCGACAGGCCGCGGGCTGCAGGGCAACGGGCGCGCGGCTCGGCCTGGCTGGGCCCTCGGCTCCTAGCACCGGGCGGGCTGTGGCGGCGGCGGCACTTCCGGGTTGTCTATCTCCATGTTGATTTCGGGAACGCGAAGGGGCGGGGATGGGCGGGGCCGCAGGGTCAGGGGTCAGCACCTCCCTGGTTGCCTTGGCGACCGAGGGCGCGCGACGGGAGCTCCCTTCTGAGGCTAGGTGCTCCTCGGGTGGGTGCGCGCCAGCTGCTCCGGCCTGGCACGGCACTGGGCTCTGGGAACATGGAGGCCTAGAACGGCTGGCGGGGGACCGCTCCTGAGGGGGGACAGTCAAGCCCCGGGACTGCCCGTTGTAGAGAGAGACCCGATTTCAGTCTTTGAAAGCTGTCTTTGCTACGTGCTAGATGCCCTGTGCCTGGCACAGAGCGGACATTCGATAGTGATGGAATGGATCCCTCCCCTCATTCTCCGAAAACATAGCTTTCTCATCCCCTTATCCCCTGTTCCCCTTTTGAAAAAAGGGAAGGCTGTTAATTGACTGAAATGGTACCCTTCCCCCCTACCCCAAGAAATGGAAGAAAGGGAAACAGGTAAGATTCCAAAACACAGGTATTAAAAAGGTCGCCAAAGGCACTGGACTGGAGTCATAAGACCTGTTTCCGACCCCTGAGCCTCAGTTTCTTCATGGGTAGGAAACCTATATCTAAGACTCCATCGTGACTCTATGGACTCAACGTCAAAAGGACCCCTTGGGGCACTTGCAGTCCAGTAAACTATCCGACTTCAGAAGCCAAGCCCGGAGACCTTTCTGGTCATATACCATCAGCTAAGAAAAGCAAACAGCCTCCTTCACCAAAGGCACAGACAATTACCTTAGCTGGTCCTGAGGGCAAGACGTGATGGACCCTGGTGCTGTTGGAACGAAAGGGGCTTTGCGAAGAGAAGAAAATGGGGATATGTTAACACTGCGCTTTTTCCGCAATGGCCTGATCTAGTGGGAAAAATACGGTAATGGCTGATAAGTCAGGAGCCTTGCTTGATATTGAATATCTTGGCTCTGCCAGAAACTCAGTAGGTGACTCGTGATGGGCACTTAGTTTCCTGAGGCAAGGAATTTAGAATCTGGGAGATTCCATTCCCTGGTCCATAAATTGTAGATAAAATAGCTATTTCAAAGTTGGGAGTAGTATCTGAGATAATGTACATTTCTTAGCATAGTATGGCACATAATTCAAAATCTCCCTTTGCCCCATCTATTTCTCAATTACAAGAGACTTTTTAATGCTCCCTTTGTTTTTATTTGCATCCATGTCCTATTTTCCCAAGGAAAGTCTATGTTCTTTGAACTGCCTTATCATGCATCGTCGCTTCACAGTGCCCAGCATGCAGCAGAAACCCAATTTATTGAGTCACTTAATGCTTTTTCTTCCTTTTTACGATGAATTTTGAGAGTAAAACAATACGATAGATGTGCATACACTTTTCAGCTATTTAAAATAGCCATAGAAGTGTAAGGTGTTGTGTTTATTATTTTCAGGCACGATTGAAAACCTTTCCATTTGAGGAAGACATGTTTTCCGTGGTTTTTTAGGGTCCTCATGTTTACAGGTTACTAGCCACAGCACGTAAAACTCTAAAACCCAAGGGTCTTTTCACAAAATGTACTCATATATTTCATGGAGGTATGTGAGGGCCCTGCATACATAGGACAGGGCAAAACTAGGTTTATAGTTGTTCACAAGGAAAATAATACAATAATTCATAAATAATAATAATAATACAAGAATAAAATGTGTGTTTCATGTACTCACAACTGTAAACCTCCTTATGCCCCACCCTATATTTATGACAGAAGAGCAACCATAGAGTTTAGAAACCTTGGGGAGGGGGATAACATTACACATTATTTAAATCTTATGGAAGGAAGAGATTTTTCTTGACTTTAAAGACAACACCATAGACTTCAAAGACCACCCAGATCCCAGCACATTCTCTCAAGGACCCACTGATACTTGCTAGTACCTATAGATTTCCTTTCATTTATTGGAAGCTCTAATTTTTTCAGCACTGCTTACACACAGTGGGTGGTGTGAGTTCTACATGAAATAGGCACTCCAAAAATAGACAATGGATTAATTTACCACCAAGATCTTCAGGAAATCAAACTGCAGATGAAATCTTGAGTAACAGCTAGACACAATCCAGAACGAAAAGACCTGGTTTTAGGCCATTCTAATGAAAGTTTACTAAAATATATGAAAGAGAGCAGAATTTTTCATCTCCAAGAGAAAGTGTATATAAAGGCTATGTATGGAAAACAAAATCACTGTGCTGTGAATATAGCATCTGGATCCGAGAGTGGGCAGTTGTCAACTTTAATGAAAAAATATTCTGTAGGAATTTTTAATTTTTAGAGAGTGCATTGGAATAGTCAACGGTGGAATTTCAACCAAAATCCCCAGAGGGAAATGATTTGATACCTGAAAGTCACAGAAACAAAATTCAGCTGAGAATTTTTATAAATTGCATTTTACAACTGTTCATGTCTCAATTAAAGATTGTAATTAAATAAACAGGAGACAATTAGTTATAATAGTGGATGTGAGTTTCTAAAGACCTCAAATTGTTTGGGAAGCTTTATTAATGATTATAAACTTGTTTACAAGTACCATTTCACTCATCTCTGAAATACAGCCATCTCTAGGGTGTAAGTTGGCAGGGGAAGCAAACAGCAATACAACAATGTACTCCAGCACAATTTAGGGAATACTCTAAAGGCAAGAGCTGAACAACTGGAATTACCAACATCTCTCTCTGTAACACCTAAATTTCTTTTGAGGTTCCTTAAGACTTGGGTAGAGCCAAAATTCTTTAGTTTTACTGTCTGGCAACATCAGGAGTTATAACTTAATGTTTGTAAGCCAGAAAAAGAAAATAGTATATTTTTGCCTTGAAGAAGCAAAAATACAAAGAAAAATGAACTAAATAGAAATCAGGATTGTATTGTAAAAGTGAAGTGATATCTTGTAAGAAAGTATTTTTTCTTTTTTGATTATTTGTATTAAGAGAGTTAAGAACAAGTCAGTTGAGTCAAATATATGATTATCTAATAATGAAAAATAATGGCAATTACGTAAGATCTGGGATCAAAGTGGATCTGCAAAAATGTTTATTGTCAAACAGTTTTAAAACATCTTCTTACTAATTTTAAGATATATATGGATGGTCCTTTTAAAAAAGAAGAAGGACTGCATACATAAGGACAACATAACCAGAATTGAAGACAGTGACTTTTTATTATTATGCTATGACTAATGAGGTGCCACAATGTTTGGTATATTTCTAAATTCAAGGGCTTGAGGAAATAATACATCTCAAAGGAGGAAAAAGGTAAAATTTCTAATTTTAAACAGTTACAGTGCATGATGCAGTGAATAGGAACAATTTGAACAGAAGGTAAAAATAATCAATATTCTCCAATAGTGAAGAGTTTTACAGATGAAAATATTTACATAGTGCTTGCACCTTCCAGTAAAGTCTCATAAAGAGACTTACTTATTCTAAGAGCTGTGTAAGAATTTTTCCCTCTAGACTTCAGCATCTCTGAATTTGTTACTTGGAAACCTATTGTAGGACAATTATGAAGCTCTAAGTGTTTAAATAATCTACTGGGTCAAAAGCGCTAACACTCCCATGTACAGTATTGATTATCTTCCAGTTTGAGGTTCAAAGACATAAAGGCAAAAAGAAGTTGTCCCAAAGTATCTTTGCAATCTTCAAACTTCAGATACACACACACGCACTTCAAATATATATACAGCTCAAATATATATAAAATTTGTGTACACATAAACATATGGAAAAACTCTCGAGTTATGCTGGAGATACGTATATAGACAGATTAATGTCCACATAACCATTAAAAAGTTCAAAGAAAGTATTTGGCAAATTGATTTGAAATTAGAATTGCAATAAACTAGAATTTATAAACTAGATGCTCATTAATAAACTAGAAATTAGAATCGGGGGTGGGGGGGTTGGTGATCATCTTGTTTCCATCACAGGCCTGATTAATTTGTCTTGTGGGTAGTGTATGGACACAGTTTGTAATGCATGAGCAGTGTGGTGTACGGAACTATAAAGAGCTCTAATGAGCAGCCTGGGACTTCATCCCAATCCTGCCTGTTACTAGCTACGTATGTTTAGGGTAGTAACTTTCCTTCTTTGGATCCCTTTTTCTTCACCTGTAAAATAAGAACCTATAATAGGGACCACTAAAGCATTCACTAACATTTGATAATTCTAAGTAGTATATCCACAACACAAAGAAGCAAATCCTGTTCTAATTGCCTAATTGAATGATCAATATGCTAAAACAGATTCCTTTTTTATGTAATTTATTAATGAAGTATCCTCTAATTCAGAAGAAAAAAAATCCTTAAGATGTCCTGAGAGCACTTTCTCCCAAAGATCATCATAGTCAGGAAGTAAATATATCTCTTATTAATAGGCCCTGCATGAGGAAATCGACACTAACAGCTCAAT